GTTTTTGATGTTCTAAAAATAGTCCTGAATCTGTTGGCTTTTCTGGTTGATGTTAGTGGGAGCCTTGGTCAAGCACTCTTCACTCCTTGTTACGTTTTAAATGCCATAAAACCAGTCCTGAGGCTGTAGTAGTGGTGCATTTTGAGAAATGTTTTCTCTGTTGCCTCACTGAGCTGCCTCCATGCCCCAGGGTCAACAGCAGCCTGTCCAGTGATGAGGTCCTCCTGGAAGACTTGGAGACGGAAGGAGAGAGGCAGCTCAAAAGCCTTCTTCACCACCAGCTCGATACCACTGTCTCCATAGAGCAGTAAGTCCTGATCTGTGCCCGCGGGGAGGCTGCTGGAGTGGCTGGTAAACAGAGTCTGGCCGCATTAGGGACAAGTAGTATCTCCTCGCCTGGGATGTGTTTGATACAAGCTGTTATCTGCCAGAACAGCTGTACAAATCCTCCTTTGCTGGATCTCCTGCAGGACACACCCTCTGGAGATGAGCACTCCTGGTCTCCTGGGGCAGTTGTGGGGTGAAAATGATCAATTTGCCTGGGCAGGACAAAGGGATGAGTTTTTAGGCTGGAGAACTCCTCCCCACCAGGCTGGTGTGTGTTTTGTGTTACATGAAGTGCTTCCTGCCCACGTTGGGGCGGCTTCCCAGCCTGCGGGATCTCGTCAGCTTTGGAAAAGAAGTTGAGAGGGTTTTGGAAATGACATCTTTGCCTAAGTGTAGTAGTACCAAGCATGGTTGAGGGGAGAGGCCAGCCCCTTCCTATTTGCCCAGCTTCTCAGTGCGAAGTTGTTTCCGCTGTTGTGTTACTTTGGGTTACAGGTGCAAGTCAAAGCGGAGATGCTTCGCCCCTGCAGCTTTTTACAAGCCTTTTGGGGAAGAGGCTGCAGGGGCTTTGACCTTGTCGCAGTTCCAGGCCCTGCAGGAGAGCAACAAAGAAACTGCCTCTCTCCGGGAACTGGGGCTCTCCGACTCGGAGATCCTACTCTGGAAGAACCAGGCTTCGACAGGGAAGGTAGGCATGCTTTGCTCTGATGGGAGCGTGGTTGTGTGGAGGCCCTGAGTGAATTATTCCACCAAGAAGGAGTCAGCTGAGATGGAGAGGATGTCAGATTGCCTGTGAAGCTCTCAGCAAAGTACTTAGTGCAAGCTTCTGTTATTTTCAGCTGCTAAATTGCAGCTTTTTTGAAAACAAAGTACTACAAATGATTTCCCGTAATTGCTTTTCCATATAAACAGCCTTTTGTGCCCGAGGGAAGCTATGAAATGGTGAGTGGAAGCTGTGCAGATGTGGGCCCGTGCAGTCAGGCGGGAAGGGAGAGGTACTGATGAGAAATTCTTCGTTGGATTCTGCTCATTGAGGGGAGAAAGCTGAGTTTCTTGCCCTGAGGGAGAAAGGTCTGCCACAGTTAATTCTTGAACTGAATTTGAGAAAAGAAAATCCACCTATAGCCCCATGAAAGTGTGTTCTCTGCATTCTGACAGAGGCGAATGGAGGAACAGAAGTGGCCCCCTGAGAAGTTTGGGTATGTCCTTGTGCTTTGGTGGCGTAAGTCTGATGAATCTTAGCAGTGCCCTGGTCCTGTGCAGTGAGATTTATGTGTACAGGAACGCTTGCTTATGGCCAAGTCATCTGTGAGGTCAGTGCGGCAGTTTTTGGGAGCTAACTCAGGCGAAGCTGGTCAGGGCTTTAGTCCTCAGCATAAACCTGCGCTCGGGTGCCAAACAGCAGCTTGGAGGTCTTTTTGGCATTTAAGTTTCTCTAAGCAGTACTGGGGTCATAGACCAGAAGCTTGGTGGAAATTTGAGCTCAGGGATACTGCAGGCAGGGCAAAAGGGGGTTGTATAGTCACTGTAGGTGACCTTAGAAAATCACTATAAGCTGGCAGAGGCAGAGACTGCTGGAACAGAAGGACACAGGCGCTATCAGGCAGTGAGGCCAGGGAAGGGAAAGCAGCACAGAAGGGTCAGGAGAAAGAGGCTGTTTCTCCACTTTTCATGAGAACTGAGGCTTCCTGAATTATTGTATTTGTCCTACCTTTGCAGTAACAGGCCCTCTTGGTGACCAACTCTTTTTTGGGGGGGATGTTTCCTTGGTTGCACCAACTCCAGGCTGGAGGATGTGCAGTTTGAATGCTGGTTGAGTCTCTGAAAAGGAACCATGTGCCATCTCTGAGCAAAGCTGTGCCTGTCTTTCAGGGCTCTGGGCTGGGAGCAGCCCCGGAGGCCACGCAGGACCGCCTCCATGCCATCCAGGAGAAGATGGAATAGCGTCAGCGCATACTGGCTCTGCCCCAGAGGTTTGCTGGCAGCAAGCAGCTGAGCCGGCGGGAGATGGAGATTGAAAATGCCCTCTTCCAAGGAACGGACCGTCACTCCTTCCTCCGGGCACTCTACCATGAAGGTTTGTGGGCTCAAGGCTCTTCCTGCCTTTGCTCCAGCACAGAGTGGGGCTGTGGGGGAGTCCAACACATTGCCTTCTGTCCCTGAAGACATGGTTCTATTTTGATGCTCACATGAGCAGGCAGAGAGTGGACTCTCTGAAGTCCATCTCTGTTTGGAGAGCGTGGATCTCATTGATGTGCTGCCTATACTGGCAAGCCCAGCTCAGTATGTGGAGGAGCAGCTGGGATTATTCTTTGGTAGAGCCCAGAGGTTCCCACCAGGACTCACTGAGTGACATGGGCTGCCTGTGTAGAGCTAGAGATTGTTCCTTCTTCAGTATAACTGCAGTCTAACAGGGGTGGTAAGGGAAGCAAAGGCACAGAGCAAGAAAGAGTAGGAGTGACTTGTTAAAGGCTCCTCTCAGTAGTCAAAGTGGAATTAAAACCCAGTTGCTGATTTCATAGAATCATTTCCACTACTGTGTCCGTGGCACGGCAGCACTTCTTGCCCCAGCAATGTTTTCCCTGAGCCTGTGGCTTAATGTGACTTTTTTGGAGGGGGAGAGTCAAGTGTTGTCCAGAGATGGCAAAAACTGCTTCAGTCTGCTTTAGCTGGAAAATGTGTGGACATGAAGCTCCAGCCCAGCTTGTTTTCTGTGTGTAAACGGTATTGAATAGGAGTTTAGAAGTTCCTCCTCATCTTCTAAAACACCCCTTTGAACAGTCCTGACACTGTTCAGACTATAATGTCCAGCTGACGTTGCATCATCTCGTCCCTCCTTTGGTGTCAGTGTTGTGGCATTTAGCAAAACCATAAGGCAGCAAGGTTGAAGCTTTTATAGGCTGTGAGATGCCCCTCTCACTTTTGTCCTCATTTCCGTTAGAGTAAAGGAGATAATCATTGGTCACTCCCATGCCATGGACCTTCTTTAAACTCAGGAGCTTAATCAGATGTTGTCCCTTGAAGCAAAAAGCTTATTTTATAGTCTCTGTCTCTTCTTCGAGTACGTGTTTTTTCCAGGTTCTTAGTGGTAGTCACATTACTGTATTTCTCTGTTGTGGATTAGATGACACTCAAAAGAGGATAACAGATGAAAAGGACCCCATGGTTCATCTGGAGAGTGTTTACCAAGAGCTGATGAGCAAAAAGTGGCCTGAAGAAGTCCAGCATAGCAAGAATGACCCATTCTTATGCCCTTCCCTGGCCCCACAGGGGCCTGTGGCTGAGGAGTCATCACCTACAGACCGGGAAGAGCAGGCAGAACAGGCAAGTCCCAGCCTTCCTGCAGCAGGGCCCCAGCCCTCCCCTGTGATTATCAAAGACCTTGTAGAGTTTGTCCCAGAACAGGAGATCTACAAGAACCGTCTCTCAGAGGAAGAACTCCGGAATATACCGAGGTTCTCGTCCTACCATCCTGGGGAACCCAACAAGGTATGTTGAGACTAACTGGAATTTCTTCTTCTTCCTTGCGAGCGTGCCCTGGAGCTGCTTCAGCAGGCAAAGGCTCCTGTTCGCTGTTGCCTGGAGAGTGCTTGGTTGATTCTCTCAGCCAAGGGAGGAGAGCATCCTCTCCTTGGGGAGGGAACCTTTGGTTCTAGTGGAAAGTCTCCTGGATTGGCAAAAAGCTGTACGTCAGACCTCAGCCCCTCCTGACTCTGGCAGGTCACTAGTCGAGTTGTGCTCTCCTTGTCTGGGTCTGACTGTGACCAGCTGTGACTTTACTCAAACTGTGCTTATCTGGTAGCTGGAGCTTCTTTTGTTTTATAAATAACTGGAGTTATCGGCATTGGCACAGGCAAGAAAAATACGATGCCTTGAGTCTAGAGCTGACTTTCTCTGTACCTGTCTTTCGAACTCCGCCATCAGTGTGCGGGTGGAAGGAGAACTCGGAGATGACAGAGGAGCTGAGCTAATTCATATCTTTGAGGAGTGCTGACTTGAGACCAGGTGTTCAGCCTGGAGAAAAGGAGGCTCAGGGGGGACCTTGTCACTCTCTACAACTACCTGAAGGGAGGTTGTAGTCAGGTGGGGGTTGGGCTCTTCTCCCGAGCATCTCGTGACAGGACAAGAGGGCACGGCCTGAAACTGCATCCAGGACAGGACTTTAGGTTAGATACCAGGCAACGCTTCCTCACGGAGAGGATGATCAGACATTGGGATGCACTGCCCAGGGAAGGGGTGGAGTCACTGTCCCTGGAGGGGTTTTAAGGAAAGGCTGGTTGTGGCACTTAGTGGCATGGTCCAGCTGATGTGGTGGTTTTGGGACATAGGATGGACTTGATGATCTCAGAGGTCTTTTCCAGCCTCAATAATTCTGTGATTCTGTGAAAGGTGTCTGTTCACATGGTGCAGACTGGCTGACGCTCTCTCTTTGGAACAGGTGCTGTATTTGAAGAACCTGGGCCCTCGAGTCACCGTGAAGGACCTGGTGTCCCTGTTTGCTCGGTTCCAGAAGGAGGACGGCCCACCGATCCATTTCCGCCTCCTGAGTGGCCGGATGAGGGGTCAGGCTTTCATCACCTTCCCTGGTGAGCTGCTCTCTCGGTTCTGCTGCATCTTCCTGCTAGAGTGGTGCAGGCTCAGGGGCTGTGTGTCAGCAACATCTGCGTGACCACCACCATGTGTCTGTGCCAGAACTTGCTGTCCAACCTGCACCTGTTTTGCTCTCTTGTTGCAGATGTTCAGTCAGCCCAGCACGCCATGCGGTTGGTGAATGGCTACAACCTGCAGGGGAAGCCGATGGTGATTGAATTTGGGAAAAGCAAGGGGCATTCACGAGAGACTGATGCTGCCGTCCCCTGCTCTGCTGGAGAAAGTGCCCCTGCCACGTGAGCGATGGATAACTGGGAACCTTGTGGACTTGCGTGGGCCTTGGGAGCTCCTGGCTTTTAACTCGGACGGTGAAGGACTGTTGAGAGTTAACACACAGGCCTGTAAATCTCAAAGTGGGGAGACTGGGATCTTCTTTGAGAGACACAGGTACTATCTTTATAGTGTTTTGATGTGCTGGCTTTTTCCTCTTGTTAGACCTGTGTGTCTGCCCTCTCAGCCCTTTGTGGCAAGGAGGGAGGGAGGAAACCATGTAAATAAATGTATTTATTATGGTATTTCGTTAGCGTGTGTTTATTCACCAGTGTGCTGCACTCTGCTGGTGTGGGGCTGTGTCAGCAGAGCTCTTCTGAGAGCTGGAGTACCTGACAGGTGTTGGGCACTGGTGGGGCTGCCTCATCTCTGGTGGCAACACATAGGTTTCTTTAGGATGACAAAAAAAGGTACTTTATGATCGCAAGTATGTCTGGACTCCTTGCTGTTGGTCCACATAAAGCCCTGTGGTATGAGGATGGTTGATTCGACGAGGCGCCGTCGTGGCAGACACCGTGGCCTGTTTAAGTGCTTTTTGTGAACAACTAACTAACAACAACAAACTAACATCCTCTGCTTCCTGCAGTGTCCCAGTGCTCCTGGGAGAGCAGCATCTGAGCTCTTGGTGATGGAGGCTGAGGGAATCCCGGGTGTTCCCAGCAGAACCAGGTTGCAGGCTGCTTCTGGGTGCCTAAATAGAGCCGTGTGGAGAAGAGGAACGGTCCTGAGAGTTGCTGTTTTTCTCCTCCTCCAAGGCTGTGTGACTCCTCTCCCAACTGGCTTTCTGGTAAATGCACGTGGGACAACACACAGATGTACTAACGTGGCCATGGCGGTGCTGGATCTACAAGGAGGCCTGGGCCTGTCTGGGCCTACATGCCCCTGGACAGCCCATGACCTGGGCTGA